AGAAGTATGGCGCTGCCAACATTTTTCTAAAGTTGCGTGACGATTTGACCGTTTAGGCAAGGCGAAAACGGCTTTTTTAACGAAATTTCAAACTTTTTTAAATTTCAGCCGGAAAGAAAATCGCTAGAACTTTAAAAGATTTTTTTCGAAACTAGTTCACAGAAAGGGATGTTTTGGCAAAATAAAAAAAAATTCGATTTTTCGTCACTGATTTTCGATTCTCGAAATATTCTGGTGGCCTCTCTTAAGTGCGCGTTGTTAAAGGATCTGTTGGACACCTTACTAATGAGTTAGTCACAAAGGCTAAAGGTAGGCACACTCTTGCACGGTCTTAAAGTGGAGCTTTGTGTGTTTTTTCTTTTTGCTCGTCCAATCTTTGATGTAAAGCTTTTTAGGACTTGTTAGTTGCTTCGAGGGGGCTATTAGAATGGTTAACGCGGAGAGTTTACATTATCAACTCAGTTGATGGAACCAAAATTATTAAGGATTTGTCTGGAGTAGTTGAATAAAGCAATTAACTTACGCCAGTGAGAGTTAACTTTGCCACTAATTATTTAGGTGCCCAGACTTAATATTTTACTTTATTTTAACTGACCACGTGATGATGGGGGATTTAAAAGTAGTGAGCCATTTTGGAAGTACTGAAAGGAAGAGTGCGTCTGTTTAATAGAAAAGATGCTTAAAAGGGGCTTAATTTGCAGCAAACACGAGAAGGAAATTCCAGAAATTGGATAACTGAGGAAACTCTTTTGTAGGGGTTTTTTCCAAATGGGAATATAGGTCTGATAGTATACTTTTAGTGTGCATAACATCAATCAACATAGGTTTGTTATCATTTATAGTAGAGAAAAGTGAAACTCAGTCCGTTACGTATGAAGTCTGGAATTCATTACACTCAGCTGCAAAGACGGGTGATATCACCGTCATTGAAGCGATTCTGTCTCGTGGTCAAGACATCAATTTTAAAGATAACGATGGAATCACTCCTTTGGCACTTGCTGCTGCTTGTGGCAGAAGTGAAGCCGTTAACTATCTACTACGCAAGGGAGCAGATCCTTTCGAGAGATGCTGGTTTGGGAGAAATTCACTGCATGCTGCTTCAGAGGCTGGCAATGTCGCAAACATTCAGACTTTGCTATCACGGGGTTTAGAGGTCAATTCAAGAGATCATGAAGGAAACACGCCGTTGACAACTGCTGTTCAATTTAACAGGAGTGAAGCCATCACCTATCTTTTAGAGAAGGGAGCAGATACCTCTACAAGAGACAGCCATGGAAGAAATGCTCTGCTCATAGCTTCACGCAGTGGTAATGTCGCCATCATTGAAATCGTGCTGTCAAGTGGTCTTGACATCAATTCAAAAATTGGTAAGCATGATGAGACATCGTTGGCAGTTGCGGCCCTATCTGGCAAGAGTGAAGGCGTCCACTATCTTCTAGAAAAGGGAGCTGATCCATCTATTAAAAACTTGCTGGGAGCAAGTACACTGCACTCAGCTATACTGGGCGGTAATGTCGTCATCATCAAAAAAATACTGTCACGTTTTAGTATTTATTTAATCGCTTTCACCATACTTACAATACTAAAAGGACTAAAATATACATATGAACAAGACACAGAAGAGAACGGAGGACAAGGGTGCGGGACACACAACAGAGCGAGGCTCCAAATTAAGTGTGCCCTTACGAGAAATACACAGATACTAACTATGTAAACAATAGACAGTGGAAAAAGTATATAAAAAAGTATATAAAATGATAAAAGCAAAAACGAAAACGATAGGAATAAATCCCTCATGCGGCCGATAGAAAGTCCTAATAGCAGCAGTTACCAACTAATAGAAGATCACGTGACCTACTGCATTTGCAGCAGATCGACTTCCAGGTGTTGAAGTTAGTGACGTCATAGTTTGTATGAAAGGCTGCGGAATAGCGTTGGAGTACGTGAGATTTAAACTGATGGAGAGAACTAATAATACGAGTGGATACAGGTAAGGTATTCCAGAGTTTAGCGTCACGATTAAAGACATAATCAGCTATGGGTAAGGTGTAGTGGCAAGCGTGATACTTGAAATAGAAAATTAAGTCTTTCACTTCGTGCCAGTATGTTAACGGTAGCAGGTTGAGGCGAGAAAGGCGCTAGTAGAGTCAATTCCAAAGATAACTATGGTGAGACACCGTTGATGTTAGCCGCTCGTTGTGGTAACCTTGAAGCCGTCCATTCTCTTTTAGAGAGGGGAGCAGATAGCACTTTGAAAAGCCGCCTTAGAAGAAATGCCGTACATTCAGCTGCAAAGGGTGGTGGTGTCGCTGTGATTCAGATGATTCTGTCACGAGGTCTCAAAATCAATTCGAAAGATCGAGACGGTGATACACCTTTGATGGTCGCTGCAGAATGCGGCAAGATTGAAGCCGTACATTATCCTCTAGAGAAAAGAGCTGCTCGCTTTATAGCAGGCTACAGACAAAGAAATTTGCTACACGCGGCTGCAAAGGGTGCTAATGTCGCCATCATCGAAGCAATGTCATGCTTTTTTCATATCAATTCAGAGGATATATTTAGTGAGACACCCTTGATGATCGCTGCTTCATATGGAGGGACTGAGGCCGTTCAATGTCTCCTAGAAAAGGGAGCTGATCCAACTTTGAAAGGCTGGTGTGGAAGAAGTGCACTACACTTTGCTGTGTATTGTCACGGTAACGTTGCGATTATCGATATGCTGTTGTCTCATGGTCTGGATATCAATTCAAAAGATAGCCATGGGAACACACCCATAATGATCGCAAAGAAAGCAGGAAAAACTGATATCACAAATTTTTTACTCAGCAAGGGAGCATATTAGCCTTTTATAAACTTGAAAGCCTGGAAAATTTCTTACTTTATACTTCCTAGAACCAGTCATTTATAATAACTGAATGAACTTTTACAAAAGATTAACATCAGAATAACTATAAATTTCATTGGCATAGTAATTTTGGTACCATGTAATGAACTGGTTACTTCAATTGAAGAAATGGAAACTATGTTACTTAAGCCACCAAAATGAATATGGAAAAGCTAACGTTTCTAGGCTACCGTCGAAGCAAAGAGGATTACTCGGAGATGATCGAACGCTGGAAAATTCAGCTATATCAAACTTCCTAAAACAGCTTATCCTTGAAGTTGGCTATCGGCAGCTAGTTGATAACCAAATTCAGAAATGAAAATTTAATTTTTTTCAATCAATGATCTATTTTACCCTCACTTTACGGATAGCCAGGAGCGTAGCGTCCTATACGCATATACGCACGTGCTTACTTGAGGTGACCAGAGAATTTTGAAAACAATGTTGTGTTTGTGCCAAGTTTGCTCAAAATAAGGGCAAGACGCTTTGTTCTTTGCTTGTATTCACGCAACTATTTCGAACAAGAAATAAAGGAAATATTTGCTTGCAAATAGAATTTTTATGCTTCTTCTCCCTATTGTGTATTTTTTATTTCTTTGGGGGGCCTGGGACTTGAGGTGACATTTATTTGGATTATACCCAATACCCTTTAGAATTCTTGTGCTTGCTAAGTGACCTGGCTCCCATGTGAGCGTCACTCCGTTTCATCTTGACGGTGGTTAAAGACTTGTTTTTTTCATCTTGACAGTGGTTATCGACGTGTTTTTTCATTCGAGGTGAGTTTTATTAATTTTATCCCTTTACACAGTTTCCTCTTTGACCATTTGTCTTTATAAGTCACGCGCTTTCTGTGGTTTGGTCTATTTCTTACATTTTGCTTGCGCATGTGCTTGGTCGAATTCACAGTTGTCTTCGTTTCGAATTTCTTTCTTTGGTTTTATGGCTAGCTCACCTCCCACAGTTCTTATTTTAGGCCATTCGTTTGTTCGAAGGCTGAGTTCAGACCTTAGATCCAATTTTGATACCCGTGCTGCCGAACATTTTAATCTGTTAGGTGACGCCGTGATTCACTTGCATGGCGTGGGCGGTCGACTGTGAAGAAACTTCGCCTTTACGACCTTGGTGTTGTTTCTGCCCTAAAACCCGACGTCATTAATCTTGAAATAGGCACTAATGATCTTGTTGCTAACCGTCCCGAGGTCGTCGGTTCTGGGATCGATGATTTGGTTCAATTGCTGCTCCAATCGTGCTCTATACGAGTCATCGGTATTTGCGAGGTGATACCTCGTGTTCGAGCGCCGTTCTTCAACGCGGCGGCAACGATCCTCAACCAATATCTCACCGATGTTCTAGAGCCTTGTCCCAACGTTTTTTCCTGGCGCCATACGGGCTTTAGTAATCCCACCGTCGGTCCTTACTTGCCCGATGGCGTTCACTTAAACCCTCAAGGCCAATATTCTCTTTATCGAAGCTATCGGCGAGCTATCTTGAAGGCCCTTCGCTCGCTTTGATTATTCACCTTGAGGCTTTCTTTTTCTGGTATTGTTTTATAAGGCCCTGGTGCTGGATTTTATTAATCTTGATTTTCAGCCCTTGTTGCAAACAATTTTTGTAATTTTAAGCCCTTGTTACTCTGGTTTGTTTATGTTTATTTTATTAGGACCCGTGTTGCTTATGTTTCATTTCACTTGGAGCGCTGGTGGCTCTTGTTTGTTTTCCTTTTGAACTAGAGCCATTATTGCTCTGGTTTTATATTATTTGAGGCCCTTGTTGCTCCTGTTTATTTTGAAGTAGAGCCATTGTTGCTCTGGGTTTATTTATTTCAGGCCCTAGTTGCTCATGCTTATTTTGAATTAGTGCCATTGTTGCATTGGTTTTATTTGCTTTGGGGCCCTTGTGGCTCCTGTTTAATTTGAATTAGAGCCCTTGTTGCTCTGGTTTTATTTTACTTGGGGCCCTTGTTTCTCCAGTTTATTTTGATTTAGGGCCCTTGTTGCTCCTGTTTATTTTGAAGTAGAGCCATTGTTGCTCTGGTTTTATTTTACTTGGGTCTCTTGTTGCCCCTGTTTATTTTGAATTAGAGCCATTGATGCTCTGGTTTTGTTTATTTGGGGCCCTAGTTGCTCCTGTTTATTTTGAATTAGCGCCCTTGTTGCTCTGGTTATATTATTCTTCGGGCCCTTGTTGCTCCTGTTTATTTTGATTTAGAGCCCTTGTTGCTCTGGTTTTATTTTATTTGGGGCCCTTGTTGCTCCTGTTAATTTTGAATTAGAGCACTTGTTGTTCTCGTCACAGGCTATTGCGGCGACACTGTGAGCCATGCCTGTTCCTAAAAAATATTATGTACTGTCTTTTGAATCTTGAGTGTTAGTTCCAGGTACTTGTTGTTTCCTTGTTTTCTGTAGATGCCTCCTCGTCGTTGACAGCGATCCAAGCGGTCATCTGCTCAGGCCTTGGAGGCCTTGGTCCCCTCCCCTCCGCAGCGTGTCAGGAGACAGAGTTTGGGTCTCGATGGCTGCTCGTCATCTTCCACCCAGCAACCCTCCCTTCTGCATGAATCCTTAGCAGCACAACCTGGGTCACGAGCAGCAACCTTGTCCCCTGTGCAATCCCAGCCACCTCCTGCAGCACCAGCAACAGATCAGCTCGCCGCGTTAACTTCACCTGTAACGGATCAGCTGGTGTCGCGGGTAATAGATGAAGTGACCAAGCGGTTGCAGCCATTCCTTTCAAATTTACGCTCAATTGTCCAGCAAGCACAAAGTCCCCCCTCCAGATCATCTCAAGCACCTGCGGTTTCACTCTCTGCGGAACAGTCTACTTCTTTCCAGTCTTTTGGACACAACATCCAGGGCGTCCAGGGACATGCTGCCATCCAAGACACAGTCGAGGTACCTGCTGTTCACGATGGCGTCCAGTCTGTTCTAGCCTCCCTGTCAGAATGGATTGCCCAAAAGAAGTTGCATATCGATCACAGTTTGCACCTGCTGGATGATTTTCTCATTGTCTCCCCCTCTCCTGATTTGTGTAAACAACAGCTTGATTTATTCTTAAAGCTCTGCCAATATCTGGGCATACCTATGGCGCTGGAAAAAACAATTGGCCCTTCATCAACCATTTCATTCGCGGGTATTGAACTGGACTCGGTCCTTATGGAGGCTCGGCTGCCTCCTGATAAGCTAGTAAAATGTCAGGACTTAGTTTCCGGTTTTCTCAGGGGTCGCAAGGTTACTTTACGTGAGATACAGTCGTTGACAGGTTTATTGAACTTTTCCTGTACAGTAGTTGTTCCTAGTCGTGCATTTCTGCGTCGTCTTATTGATTTGACAATCGGTCTTCGGCGTCCTCTTTTCCTTATCAGGTTGACTCAAGAAGTTAAAGCAGATCTTAAAGTCTGGCAGCAATTTCTGTCTGGTTTTAATGGTCGTTCCTTTTTTCTCTCAGTTGATTGGGCTAATTCACACCATCTCAAATTGTATACAGATGCATCCGATGCCATAGGCTTTGGGGCAGTTTTTGGCGGGCACGAGCTGGCGCCCGCGAGCTGGCGTCATCGCAACATAGCATTTCTTGAATTTTATCCCATTGTCCTAAGTCTGCACCTCTGGACACATACTATTAAGAATCAGCGTGTTTTGTTTTTTACTGACAGTGAAGCATTGGTCCATCTTATTAACAAACAGACTTTTCGTGACAAGGACTTAATGTTATTTGTGCGTAAGCTGGTCCTAGTTTGTCTTAATTACAATATTTGTTTTAAAGCTAAGCATGTCCCAGGCTTACAGAATAAGTTGGCTGATTCTCTGTCTCGGTTACAGTTGCAGATTTTCAAACAACTGGCACCAGCTTACATGCACAAAGCTCCCACGGTCATACCTCCTCATCTGCAGCCGCTGAGTTGGCTTCAATAGCTTCCTTTTTACTTCGCTCCAGTCTTCAGCCCTCATCCATACCAACTTATTAGCGTGCTTGGAAGCTTTTCCATCACTTTTTTGTTTCTACCTTTCATCACCCTTTTCAAGCATTGCCTATTTCACCTTCCATTTTGGCCTTATTTATTGCTTATTTCTTTCGTTCACAGTATGCTCCATCCTCTGTGATGACCTATGTGTCATGTTTGGGTTACTGCCATAAGCTGTAAGGCTTTTGAGATCCCTCTAAAGTTTTTTATGTTGCTCAGATGCTTAAAGGTTTTCACAAAGTTGGCTTTCGCCTTGACAGTCCTCTTCCAATTACACTGCCCATTTTAGCTAAATTAATTTCTGTGGCACCTTCTTTGGTTGGTTGTCCTTATGAAATTTGTCAATTTCAGGCACTGTGTTCACTGCTTGGGGTGGACACTATCTAGCTTACCTTCAGATAGTCTATTCAATGGCATAATGGTTTACTATTGCGATTCGGAGCATTAGCTTGCATGGGCGGCTCTTGCTTCTGTGCTGCGCTTGCCTGGGGTGGGGCGGCATGTGTGCGGTCACATGCTTTGGCGTTTTCAGTGCCCTCACCTTTACTAGGCCAAACTTTGTATCAAGGATTTGATTGAACAGTAATTTTAAATAAATGCGGCTATGGGATTTTGCCCATAGCCATTTACTCCAATTGTTGATTGGTTATAATTTTGCCCAGTAAACATATCTCAGGCAAGGCAACATATTTGGGTTGTGCATATAATTTATAAGGGAGAGAAGGCATAAAGAACGCAGTATTTTTTGCTCAGTTTACTTAGGTTTCTTGATCATATGTACTTGTGCGTACTTGAAAAAATGACCACGCTACGCGCCTGATAGCGCGGATTTAGTTCAAATTTAGAGCCCCAAATTTGCACCACATTTGCACACCTACAAAAATAATAGTAAATCCAGTTTTTCGTCCAGTGTTAGCAGCAAGCAATGACTGGAGAATACCTCCATAGCTCCGTGAATTATAAAGCATAAAGTATGGAATACTTTGAATGTATCCTCCAAAGTTGACTCAAGGCTTGATTTAGAGTGGTCGGAAAAAAAGTAGTTTGGAGGTTTGACATACTCGTAACCTCCAATTATTTGAAAGCGGTACATTTTTTCTATCTGTTAAGCCATGAGATTGCTTACACTTTTGAATTCTCATTAAGATTTTCCTTAGGGTACTAGTGCGACTGGATATCGATCATCCGACTTGTCGTTTCATGGAGAACGATTTAAAGGGTTTGTGCCAAAAGGGTTAACCATCCCTTCGTCCTAAAAGATATCCAGCTCTGTATTCTTCAGTTTCAAACTTTTAAATTTAAACAAGACTAGCCAGATTTTGAAGAAAGTTAAATATTTTTAAAGGTAGTATCTAATAAAGGGAAAAATGTATAATTAAAATGCATTTAAATAATTTACCTATAATATTAGAGGGGAAAACTATAAGGTATAATCAAGGAAAAGAGAGGAAGAGTTTTTTACAGTGGGCAACTGTTCCTGAAGTCAATCCAAAATAGTTTCACAGTATTAGCTGAAAGAATTTAGAATAAAAAAACAGCCACCCAGCCATGCACATACTGACAATTTTTCAAGAAACCGCCCAGCCGTTTATGTTTCCCTTCACTAATTTGAATAAAGGATCGACCTTACTGCCGCTGGGTGTTAAAAATTGGAATAGATCGTTTGCCAAATAGGATTGTACCCTTGAGGAAGATATCTGATGAAACTGATAAATTGTGAAAATGTTTTGCCTTAGTACTGGAAATAACTGAAACGTTACCGACTAGCACTCATTTAACTATAAAATTACGTATAGAACAATAATAAAACGAAGCTAATGATGGAATTTTCCCATAACTTACACCTTCTCGTCATTTAGCATTGTGACAGAATATTTGTTTAGAGCTGCTTGAGCGACAGCCGTTCTAAGGATGAAAAAAACCAATTGCATGGCATTTTATCTCCTAGCAGAATGCGTGTCATCATCTTTCGCTGTTTTCAATTGCGAATCCCTTTGCGGAGAAAAAAGATTTCTTTTATCAGTTTGCATATACAGCAGAAATTTACGCTGGCAACTGAGGTTTTCGCTTATAATCATAGCTTCGATCTTATAGAAGACACAAACTTTCAACTCTTTTGGCTTGTGGTATTCTCTTATCCTTTCCCTAATAGCGAGAACTCTTCAAGTAAGCAAGGTCCTGAGTTTGTCAAAAATGGACTTTTGTTCATTTTCGAATTTCTTTTTCTTGAAAACATGGAGTACATTGGAAATATTATCATTCTCTGAGGAGATTTTTGTACGGAGGTAATGCATTTTAAATAGTACCAGAACCCTTCGTGGTTTTTTATCGCTCTAGAGGTTCGACTAATATGCAATTGGACTTGAGAATAACCTCAAAAACGTCCCCTTTTGGATAAGTTGAGAATACCTAATATCTTAAGTTTGCCCTTTTTACTTCTATAAGTTATTACCGTTCATCGGCCATTTTAGACAAAAACTTGCGTTTCTCCCAAATGACAAGAACCGAGACTACCTTCATCCCCTACGTACAAGAACATCACGACTGTTGTTTTAAACTCCCAGGTTTAAGAATAGTTTTCTGATTCGACAGTAATTTGTTTTTACATGAAATTGAAAGTCCATTATAGAATACCCGTACAATCGGGCTCCTATTCTTTACCCAAGAGAGAACACTACATCTTTACTTTTAAATGTATGTTATTCTTTTACTATGTGAATGTGTTCCTTGCCTTTGACTTTGTATGGGTCAAGTCTGACCACTGCTTTTGATAAAAATTAGTACATAAAGGGGTTCCATGTAAAATAAGGATGTTGCCCGTAAGCATGTATACCTCGGTTGTGATACTGTTGTAATCCAACATGTGGAAAATAAGACGAGGGCGGCTCACACATGTGGTACGGAAACACGGGGTAGGGTGCAGAATATGTAGGATTTTCAACGGGACTGTATCCACCATCCCAAGTGCAAGGTAAATTTTGCGGCTCCTTATGTCTTGAAAAATCTCCTCGGGAGAAAGAGGCAGAGAATCTCGGATGAATCCGCCAGTAGCATCCACTCTTGTCCAAGGCCATTTCTCCTCGCTGAAAACACTCGTGGATAGAAAGATTGTGGCGGACTGTGTTTTTCCAGCGCACTCTGTTCTCAGTAAATTCAGGGTAGTTGTTTTGGATGAAGCTGTATATATCGGATAATGTTACTCTTTTTCGCGGTGAGCTTAGAATGGCGTACGAGATGACTTCTATGTAAGACAAAGGGCACGAATTTCTCTTTCGCTTCTGCTTCTTTTGGTGCTTTTGAATCAGGGTTTTCTCTTCGTCTTTGGAGACAGTAGGTACGGATTTCCGAACACCTTCCCTCTGAATTACTTGTTCTACTCTTTTCATTCTGTTTTCCTCCTCGTATCTGTCTCTTTTTTCAGGTAGCTTTAAAACTGACCAGCTCGATTTGCCAGAAATGCCAAAAGTTAACTAACTCCACGTTGTATTTAATGGGTTGTTAAACACGCCTTCTTTGTTGTGTTAATCACAGGTTTGATTGCTATAGTCGTTTGTCACATAAGAAACGCTATCTTCCGATCATTTGTGGGAAGACTCAACCCCACGAAACAATAAAGGATGCTGAATAAAACATGTATTTCCATAACTGCTTGTTACCGGAAAAAAATAACCATCACATTAATTTTGTATACCATTGTTCGTGACACTCCTTACACAAAATTTCTTAAAAGCAATTGAATGTTTGTTGTGAATAACGATTTATCTTTTTTGTAGCCCTCAGTTTCATGTTTCTGCTCAAGAGCAGATGAAATAGCCACCCGTTCTGGTTCTGTTAAGGGCACGAATTAAAATTATCCAGGCTTCGCGTACATCACGAAAATCCTGGTGAATACGTCCCCCACACTTTTTTTAACGCCAGGTGTGCGAGAGTCCCTTGGCAAACTATTTTTTCTAATTTTATTTTGCTATCTAAGCAACAACTGGCGATAAATTTTTGGCAAATTTCATAATATAGATGTAGACTACTGGTGTTCTCTTTATCGTTGGATGGCATCTAAAACAGTTATGAAAGTAATGTCTCGTTCCTATCGATGCATGTCCACCTTTACCGCCCTTAAAATGATATCAGTTTGTTTGTTGCGTACGGAAACAAGAGCGCCAAAAATTTAGTTGATAAATGGTGTGGCAAAAATCTTCCTTAAAAGAACAAAAATAGATGAGTAGAAACTTACTAAAGTACCTTTGAAATTTTTCGCTGCATTGTTGTTTTAGCCTACGAATTCAAGACTAAAAATAACTTTGATCACCAGGAAAATGATCTTAAAAAAGAGCATTAAAAGAGTTTCGAAACATGATGCAGATAATAAGTCACAAAGATCTGATTATTTTCTACGATCTCGAGGAAATATTTTGAATATTACAGCCTTGGACACAGTCGTCAGCAGTTCGTGTTTTCCCAAATCCTTGTTTCAGGCGCTGAGACTACAGGATGTCAGTTTTCTAGCTTTTTTTCAGCCCTTAAGCTTAAGCTCTCGAACAAATACCAGTACATCAAACGTGGCCTCTTTATGAACAAAGCTCGTTACTAAGAGCCATCAGTACACACCGGAAATAATCATTATCTAGCGTAAATCTTTAGTACTTACACGATCCATTTGGTGGATAACAGAGGATATTTGAAAACTCCTGTTACTAAATGAGCAAACTTTGAACTACGAAACTAATTGCAGAAGGTGATACATTTAGAGCGTAACATGCTGTTTCGTTATTATATCGGTTGAATTTATACACCATTGCAAGATCTATCGAGTGGCTTTGCACAAAGGATCATAAGCGTGGAAGCGTATCAACTTGTATTTCAACGTCTCCGTGACTTAGAGCCAGTAAAATTGTCTACAAACCGATTAATTGTATAGGACTGTAACACAAAACAAAAGACTGCAAAATATGCCTGCGAGGTAATAAGAGTAGCCACTGGCTTTCGAGCGTGTTATTGCCACGCAAAGCTAACTGTAGCCACAAACGGCCTAAGTGGACAGTTATCTTACAGTACATCATGTGATAAATATTGGTATTAACTCTTAAAATAACTGAAACGGTTAGCCGTTCGGATTCAGTTTGTGTGTGATTTGTTTTAAATCTTTCTTGGTCCAGCCGACCGTTTACATTGACATCATGGGGTTGTCTAATAATCTATTGTTAGCGTCAGGGAATTTCATGGTCTAACATCCAAGGAAAACGTAAGTGAATGATTTCGGAATTAGGACTCCTATTGCCGGTAGCATTCAACGCCCTCTAATTTAGATAAAATAACAAGCGTTTATTCTGTTTGGCTGTTTACAGTGATGAAATGTGGGTGTTTGCTTAATTCACAAATCACAATGATTAAAACCCACAAACAACAAACACAGCACACAATGGTTTCGTGTGTGTAATTTAAATCGAAGACGGTCCACGAGGGTGGGTAGTCAGTAGCAGGCATAGGTAGAATGAGTGGAAAAGATTTCAAGCTTACACTGTCCTGATGTATGCGGTAGATTCAATAGCTTGAAAACGAGTTCCCTGGTTGGGAGCTAAAGAAGAAAAATACACATCTACTCCTCAATTCCACAACGTGCAAGGGACGTTGCCAGGCGGTGGACCATGACCTGTGGAGTACGCTGAACGCCTGTGAAGCATATCAACAAAGCGTGACTTTCAGTAATGGTAATTAAGATATTCCATAGATAAATATTCATCAGTAGTGACTAAGATAGCCTTCCGTTTAAAACTTTCATTTTGAAATTGGTTTGAAATTGAGTCCATTGTCGAAAGTTTGATCTCAAAACCCATGGATTGTTTACTTATCTAAACCAAGTTAAAAAACCAAGCTGAGACAATTGAAATGTCACAATAAACATATTTGTTGCAAAGAAAAGTGGCGAACACGTACAGGAGACAGTTTATTGTTGATAAGGTCAAACACGATGGTCAATCCGAAAGCAGAGCGTTCGTTGCTAGATCCTTTAAAAAACAGCGCTTGTAAGATGATTAAATGGTAACGGTCACACTGCAGTCTAAGTGAAGGGATTGAAAAAATAAAATGGTAGGGAAAAAGTATTCCGTCCTCGAGAAACTTGTGTACGCGGTGAAAGGTGACATTGGCGCCACGGAGACTCTTGCATTAAAATGCAAATAGGCCATGCGGTTTTGCAAGGCGTAAAAAAATGGACAAGACAAAAAAGCAGCTAATAGAAATTTTTCTGATCCAATTCGATGAAAGATTTAGGGCATAAACGTTTCTTTTGAAATGGTTGTTAATATTGTTATTGCGGGTCGTCCCTTTCATTTTCTCAAAGCAATTCATATTGTCACATTTGAACTAATTGAAATGGTCAGCGCTCGAGCCAGAATTCTGGAATTCAGTGGACAGAGCACCCAAAACGAAAAGAGACGGATTCAAATCATCTTTGGAAACTGACATTTTTACTTAGCTGCAAGTTCATGACTACTGGTACGAGGTCTGAACTTCAATACCTTTCATTTTCTTTCGGAAATATTTGGTACGTTCGCACTTGTGTAGCAGAAACAAAACATATTTGAAGGCGACTTCCTTTGAACAGACACAAAAAATAATGGCTAATTGATATTGCTGGTAGGTTTGCTTATGTGTTGGAGGGTTGTGCCAGTAACCTGCTTCCCGGTAAAGTACAGGTTCAATTGATACCTATACTAGTCATCAATGCAAAGAAACTGCTAGAACACGCCAGACAATTAACTCAGCCGAACAGAGCAATCCACGCGACACTATACAGTAATAAATAAAGGAGGAAATAAAAAGAGAAACCTTAACTCCGGTGATCATTTTGATCAATCGTTAGTCCCTTGTTTCTCTAATTAATGGTAAGAGGTAGTTGTTGAAAGATGAAAGGGATTAGGTAGCCAGAACCTTGAAAGGCGTTGAGATGTGCAAAAAGTCACCTTTCCAAGCCAACACACATGTAAGTTATTCGGGCACGACCGCATCATAATCAAATCACCACGTGTATCTTTAGCTAAAGTTATTTACCCCCCTGTGTAAAGGAAGGTCAATTTTTTCACTCTCCTCCTTTCTTTCTTTTCTGAGACTTCTCGTGGCTAGGAGGGTGTCGATATTGTTTAGCCTTTTTGTGGGTTCAGTTCGTTTGGCGATCAGGTCTTGGTGCGTTATGCACATTGCAGGTTGTTTACCTGATAGTCCTTTAGTGACCTATGACAGGTAGACAGACAAGTAGGATTTCGTTATTTCGATATTTTAGGTTGGTTGATGTATCTATTCGTGACTAAAAATGGGTGTAATTGGACACCAAAATTCTTTGTGAAGTGATTGCTTCGCGAATTGTTTTATTGCTTGGAAAATTTCTGCAACACATTAGTCTTTCGAAGGAGTCACCTCTATTAAGAGTTATTGGTACAAAGATAGACGATTGTTGAACTATGAAATTAATCAGTAGCTGGGGAATATTAATATCATCTAACCAAAGAGTACCAAGAGACTCCAAAAACTGAGATAGCCTCTTTCCTTGTCCTTCGACAGACCCAATATTACCACTTTAACATTCTCCAGCTTTCCTACAGCAGTGTCAAATTTTTGCCCACCTCCACCACATACAGGTGGTATGAAAAAGGGTTTTCCATTGTTGGAATCGATGCAAACAGTGCACTTATGAATAACAGAAGTTAAGTTAACTTTAAGCGTAGGAGCAGGACTTTCCTTCTCAAATGTAACTCATGCAAGATTTGGCATGTATCTTCCAAGTAAAACATACCAACTCTTTCGCCGAATTTCTAATTTAACTTTAAAAAGGCTCGTGTAGACCCAAGAAGCCGCGCGAGTCATACATATAAAAGGCTCGAGAATATGTGGAGGTCGTGGGTGTTGAGGCTCTTGGCAACTGCCGTAACTGGTTCGATTCACTTAGATAGACAGATGACCGCCATTTTTTAGGTCACTCCTGCTTCCAAACAACTCAAGTGTAGTTTCACAGTAGTCTTTACTGATATAAAAGTGAGTTTTAAATTTGAACCTGCTGAGAAGACTTTGGAAAGCTAATGAAGTATGACTGGGAAAAGCCATTAGCTTTAAAAATGTTCTTTACAAAGATGCTGGCAAATGTTTACCTACTAATCAAGGGTTTTTCAAGAGTAGCCTATGACTAGTTTCCTGTTTCTTTTACTTAGTAACGGTGAAAGGGTGGATCCAATTCAAATTGTAAACCCGTTTTCTTATTATTTACGCCTCCGAATGTCGGTTTCTCATGCCACGTGTTAATTTGTATATATTTCGCGTTACCTTACGAGTACTGTCGAGTGTTTTTACTAACAACGCCTGAAACAGGGAAAAGGTTTTGATAAATTGCATCACCTAT